CCATCCTAAATTAATTTTTGTGCTTTGCGTGAGGTTGGAGTCAAGATTCATGTTCACCCTCCTGAGGACCTCCAGTGCAGGCAGAACCACCGAGAAGACCATCCGCCACGGAACCCCAGGGCCACCTCCCACGTCAGGCGCCACAGTCTGAGCCAGTCTGCCCCGCCAGCTACTGCAGCTCCGTGCGTCTTGCTACCAGCTGACACCTGTCCTCCACGCTCTTCCTCTTCCAGATGGCCTGGGCTGTCTGCCGAGAACAGGCCTCTTGCTGTCCGCATTCTGAGGCGTGGACATCTGGGGCCTTGCTGACCCTGGGGGGACGGCCCAGCCCGGGACAGGCCAATTCCAAGGTAACACATAACTTTCCTGCACCCACCCCCTCTACCATGCAGTCCTCCACTCTGAGTCACTAACTGCCCTAACCACCCTGGGACCAGACAGCCAGGGCCGGCCCCTGTGCCTCGGAGCAGCCGAGACTGTTCAAACAAGCCAGTCCAAGCCCGCTCACTCTGCCTCAGCTGTCCCTTCCAGGCTCTCGCCCCGTCTTCCCTCACTCCCCTGCCTCCTGGCCGACCGCGTGCCATGCTGGGCCTCCTTTGTGCTTCAGTTTTGGTATATTGGGTATTGTGTTTTCAAGGAATTTGCCCATTTCCTCCAACTTGTCACAAGTATCAGCATGAAGTCATTCATAATATTCTCTTTCTATTGTTCTAATCTCTGCAGGATCTTAGGAATGATCTTTTTTTTTTTAAAGATCGGCACCTGAGCTAACAACTGTTGCCAAGCTTTTTTTTTTTTCCTCTCCTCAAATCCCCCAGCACATAGTTGTATATTTTTAGTTGTGGGTCCTTCCAGTTGTGGCATGTGGGACGCCGCCCCAACATGGCCCGACAAGGCGCCATGTCCGCACCCAGGATCCGAACCGGTGAAACCCCAGGCTGCCGCAGCAGAGTGAGCAAACCCAACCACTCAGCCAGGGGGCCGGCCCCAGGAATGATCTCTTTTTAACAGCTTTCATTGAAAATTGGCACTTTCCTCTATTTTTATTGATCACTTTTGATAAGAGTTTATTAGTTTCATTAATCTTTTCAACACACTGCTATTCGGCTTTGTTCATTTTTCTGTTGTACGTCTACTTTCTATGTCATTGACATCTACTCTTTATTTACTCCTCTTGCTTTCTTTGGGTTTAACTTGCTGTTTTTTCCCTCACTTCTTGACCCTCAAAGTTAGAGCCTTCCTTCTTTTCTAGTAAATGCTACTAGAGCCATAAATTCCCCTTTAACACCGCTTATGCGTATCCTGCAAGTTCTGATATGCTGTGTTTTCAATGTCATTCAGTTAAAGATATAATCCCCACTGTGACCTGCTCTTCCAGTCAAGGGTCATTTAACAGTACGTTGTGTGATGTCCTAACACTTGGGGATATTCTAGTATCTTCCTGTTACCGATTTTATAAGTTTAATTTCACTGAGGTCAGAGAACACACTATGATTTCAGTCCTTTGGTATTTGTTGAGACCTGAGTTACAGCCCCGATTGGTCTATTCTGTAAACGCTTCCTGTGCGCTTGTTTGGTGTAATGTTCAAATTGGTTAATTGTGTTATCAGCCAACCCCTCCGACCACAGAGGCAAAACTCCTAAACAAATAGCAAGTTGAATTCAATGATATAAAAAACAAATATGGGGCCGGCCTGGTGGCGTAGTGGTTAAGTTCATGTGCTCTGCTTCGTGGCCCAGCATTCACAGGTTTGGGTCCCGGATGCCGACCTAGCACTGCTTGTCAAGCCATGCTGTGGCGGCATCCCACATGCAAAACAGAAGAAGATGGGCACAAATGTTAACTCAGGACCAATCTTCCTCACACACACAAAAAATTAATAATAGTACCTCATGAATAGATGGATTTATTCCAGGAATTCAAGGTTAACTTAACATTTGAAAACTGTGTTCAAATCTTCTCTGTCCTCATTCTAATATTCTGTCTGCTATTCTATCAATGACTGAGGAGATGTGTTAAACATCCCCAGGTCTAACTGTGCGCTTGTCTCTCTCCTTTCAGTGCTGTCCACTTCTACTGCATTCACCTCAAAGCTGAGCATGCACATTCTGCATTGTGACATTTCCTACTGAACTGCCTCTTCCGTCATTATGCAGTGTCCCTCCTGAGCAACACTTCTGGAAGTCGACTGTGTGACATTAATATTAACGACTTTCTTTAGTGTTTCCCTGGTTTGTCTTTTTTACCTTAAACCTCTCTGTGTTCTTACCTATAAAGTATGTCACCTACAAACAGCAAACTTTTCTAAAGAGCAGGCTGGAAACGTTTTCTTTATATTGGTTGCTCCGTGCACATGTCACAAGAGAGGACGGATGCAGCTGGTGTAGGCCACCGTCCTGCTGCTTGTCTTCTTTCTGTCCTGCACGTGTTTCGTTCCTGTATGCCTCCTCACTCGCCTTCTTTCAAACTAATCAAGTCTGATTCCACTTTTCTCTTCATGAGCCTGTGAGCTGTCCTTTACTATTTTGGTCACTATTCACGTGACCTCACAAAGAATGCAGGAGCTGTGCAACAATCTCGCCTCCCCTCCCACCTTTGTGCTGGCAGCATCATGCATTACACTCCTTTTTCTGTTAAAAACCCACAGAAATGACCAGTGTTGCTTTAAACCATCCAGATCCTTTCCTGACTTGCAAGGTTACCCACCCTGGTGCTTCTTCAGTCTCTTCTGTCTGGGAAAATTCTTCTTCAGCCCGACGGCTGGTTTTTCATACTTCTTGTCAGCTGGCAAGGAATTCTCTCTGTCCTGTTTGTCTGCATGAAAGGGTCTTCATACGGCCTTGATGCACGAAGAATGTTTTTGCTGGGTACAGACTTCGAAGTTGGCAGCTCTTTCTGCAGCTCTTCTGAGATGTCGTTCGTTGTCATCTGGCTTCTGTAGTTTCTGCTGAAAAGTCAGCCATCAGTCTTATTCCTCTGAAAGGAATGTTCTTTTTCTCCAGCTGCTTTTAAGATTTTTCTTTCTGTCTTTGGTTTTCAACAGTGTGACCACAATGTGCCCAGATGTTGTTTTCTGTTGTTGCTATTTGGTATTCATTCTTCTTCGGGTTCACTGGGCTTCTTGAATCTGTAGACTGATGTCTTTCAACCGTTTTGGAAAATTCTCACCTGCTGTCTCTTTGGATATTACTTCTGTTCCATTTTTTTCTCCTCTCTTCTCTGAAACTCCAATGACACATAAATTAAACATTTTCACTATCTTCCATGTGTCTCTGCTTTTTTCCCATTCTTTTTCTCTGAGCTTCAGCATGGATATTTTTCATTGCTCTGCCTTCCAGTTCACTAACCTTATCTTATATTGTATCCAGGCCATTATTGCACTATCTAATGAATTCTTAATTTCAAATATTGTATTTTCAGCTCCAGAATGGTCACTTGACTCTTTTTTTATAGATTCCAGTTCTCTTGAAATTCTCCATCTTTTAATCCATTTCATTCACCATTTCCTTGAATGTGTCATCAATATCTTCAAGTCCCTGTCTGAGAACTACAATATCTGACCTGGTGGGCTTTCTTCATTTGGCTCTGTTACTTAGCAGACACTGTCACTTTCTATTAAATGCCACATGTGAATGAAACAGCAGAGACACTGCACGCAATGTCAGTATTTCTAAAGACAATTAAGGTTGTTTTTATCATTGTTTTCCTTCTGTCAAGCAGACAGATTCAGGAGGACTACCTTGACCCTGTGGAGCTTCATTCCAGCTTTTCTTGGGGCTGGTCCAAATCAGTCTTGGTTTCATTCCCAGGGAGTGACTCTCACTTCAGGGTGTGGCCCTTCTGGGGTCTCAACTGGAGGCCCAGGGTGTCCCCGGTCTCCTCGACCTCGCCTGGGCTTGGCCGCCCCATCGCAGCGCTCCATGGCTGCACCTCCCCACCTCGCACCGCAGCCTCCCAGGGTATGGTCAGCTGGGTTCTTGGGATGTTGCTCTGTGATGAGCTTGGAAGGTGAAGGGTTTTGTAAGCCAACTTGGGAGCTCATTCTCTGTGGCTTCTTGCTTTTTTAGGGATTTGCTTCTCAAGTCCCAGCTACCTGGGCTGCCCTGAAGGGCAACGTCCATCTCCCTGGCACATAACACTGCTGCTCCCTGCTCGGCCTCTGTTTCCCACTCCAATGTTTGAGAAACATGACAGAGAAAATCCAGGGTGAAAGTACAGGTCATTTTGTGTTCTTCTCTTCTCTCAAGGACCATGGTCCTTCATGTCCCACCTGCACCAGCTGCTCTCCAGGATATGTGTATATGCGGGTTTGGCGGCTTTTTGCCACTGTTTCAAATAGTTTTTGCCTGGAGGGTAAGCCCAAGACAAGCTAGTCATGGTTGAAGCTGGAAGTTCAAAAAGTTTTCTGCAAAATATTTTCTTTGAAACAAATTAATGCCTTTTCCTTAGCACGTAAGTTATGTGCAACTGGCAAACTGACAATGATCAATACTGTACTATACATTTTAAATGCAGTTTAAATCGGTACGTGAACATCCCCAAGTGAGCACAAGGCGTCATTTCTACACACACCCCTACAGCACATGACTGACACCCACGTTTGTGAGGGCACCTATTCACATTTTGTGAAAATGGTAGATACGATGAGAAGTCCAAAATGAATTTTTAGACATGGAGCAAGTTTTGTGGCAGTAAATAGACCTAAATAAAGAACCACCCTTTTATTATTGCAATTCTCTGTGTTCAAGAAAGATTAATGTGGGGCCAGCCCGGTGGCGCAGCGGTTAAGTTCACATGTTCTGCTTCTCGGCGGCCCGGGGTTCGCCAGTTCGGATCCCGGGTGTGGACATGGCACCGCTTGGCACGCCATGCTGTGGTAGGCATCCCACATATAAAACAAAAAAAAAAAGTAGAGGAAGATGGGCATGGATGTTAGCTCAGGGCCAGGCTTCCTCAGCAAAAAAGAGGAGAACTGTCAGTAGTTAGCGCAGAGCTAATCTTCCTCAAAAAAAAAAAAAGAAAAGAAAAAAAGATTAATGTTACATATCAATAAAATTTTTAAAAAACTCTTTGAAATTAATCCCTGAGACACAGTATTTCAATGAGAAATTCAATTAAATATAAGAGATACAATACCTAAATGAATCTGCTGAAAATTTCCTATGTCGGATGACTATATAGTTTTAAGGGACATGATGTTAAATGTAAGAACAAAATTGGGTGGCTATCTATCCTAAAAATGTTTCTTACATCCTTTATCATTTTGCCATCTACCACAAACCTATTTCTTTTTTAGGAGCATTTCTTTATTTTTCATTTGTTTTCAAAAGAAATTCAATTTATTTAAACTAAAAAAACCAAACCAACAATTGACCCATTTCTCCCACCCCCACGCCTGCCTCTGCAACCACCAGTCTGTTCTGTGTCTGAGCTCGGTTTCCTTGCTTTTTAGATCCACATATAAATGATCACTTGGAATTTGTCCTTCTCTGTCTGACTCATCTCACTTAGCACAGGCCCCCGAGGTCCATCCATGTTGGTGTAAATGTTCGGATGTCATCCTTTTTCTTGGCTGAGTAACATTCTGTCGTGTATACACCACACCTCCTTTATCCATAATCCATCACAGACACTTAGGTCATTCCCACATCTTGGCTACTGTCAATAACGCTGCCGTGAACAAACCTATTTCTTTCGGGTACTACGGTAACTGTCTGACATCCTCTACCTGTTTGAGGAAATGGACCACAGCCCTTCAGCACGACAGCACAGAGACACTCCCCAGAACGCAGGCCTCCTGTGCCTGGTCCACACTCCATCCAGCCCAGAAAGAACCCCTCGAGGACCAAATGAAGGAAAAGCAGCCACGCAGCCTCGCGCCCCAGCCCGGCTAACTCAGAACCTACACACGCAAGAACCTTGAAGTCAGGCAGTTGCCTGTGTTCCTTTTGCCACAGTGTGTCCAGGTTTGGATCTATAATCCCCGAGAGATCCCATTGTGACCAACAGAAAAAAAAGGGAGAGCTTCCTTTTCTCTAGAAATGACGTTCAAACACAAACGGGCACTGACATAAACCCACGAGGCAGCTGACCTCGCAGACGGGCAACACGCACCAACCGGCCTGGAGACGCCGCCCGCCTGGGGCAGGGGGCACCTTGACAGCAATGTCCTAAGCCTCTCTGAAAACCCAGCCTTTCTCCGTCTTCAGAACTCATTTAATGAAGATAAGGCCAAGGAGCGGGGCAGGCAGAGGCTGCTGGGCCACACATGGACCACGCCCCGGCCACCGTCACAGTCGGCGGGGATGGGCATCAGACTGATGGGGAAGCTCCTCTCTCCAGAGACCCATCCATGCCCTGCTGGAGGGCGCGGCTCCCATTGTCCCAGAACCTGGCGACAGGGGCACCTGCTTCCTTCCGGAGCCCAGCTGCTGCTAGGCAAAAGGTGAGTGTCCGCCAGGCCCCAGCACCGACCACGTCCACGACCACCTGCTCCGCGTGAGCAGGCAGATGCGGACCCCGTACATCCAACGGAGGTGGACAAGCAAACGCAAGGCGCTCTTTCTGAAAAGAAGCAGTTTTGGTAATTCTCCGTCAACACCGTCACCTTCACACTTGGAGAGAGACGCCGTGTGATGCACAGAGCAAGGAAGTGGGGGCTGGGCTTCGTCCTCGGATCTTTCTAGAAAGTAATGGGGTCAGAGTGATTGGGTTCCTCTCCCCATGGATGGTGCGCGCTTTTCTGCCTCTCCACTCCTGCTCTGCCCCCGTAAGTCAGCAGTCCTACACCATCCCGGTGAACTCAGCCCCTGTCGCCTAGAGGCGGGAGGTGCACCTGCCCCACATGCACACAGGCTGGGCACAGGGCCTTCACCTGGCCGCTGGCAGAGGATGCGAGAGTGACAGCTTTAAAGGCACACACCAATGCCTGCTCCCAGCCCCTGCAGGCTGCTCCCACCCCGACGTGGCTTTGCGGTCACCCAGTGGCCACTGGACCTGAATGCCAGGCCTGGCCGCAGGAGAGGCACATGTGAGCGTCCAGTGCTGAGCAGACAAAGGCACCTGTTCCAGCCTGTCCGGCCTCAAAGCCACTCTGCGCAGGGAGGCGTCTGAGTCCACGGGGACATTCTCCTCGTGGCTCCACAGCTGACTTCAGGGTACAGCTTTGGGCCCCCCAGGGGCTCTCGGGAAGTTCATCCAGGCCTGTGGGAGGAGCGCTGGCTGCACAGCGTGCTGGAAGAAGGACTGGACATCCTGGACGGGCAAGCAATCCCCACAGAAACCCACCCGGGCATCAGCTGGGGCCAACTCCAGAAGAGGCCTCACCACTGAGCCCAGGTCTCCAGGTCTCGAGAGGCGTCGATCTAGAACGAGAGACAGACAGGTTACAGGCCATCAGGACGCGGTGAAATCGAGCAGACTTAGAGCAGACACGTTCCGCTGCCTCCTACTCACCAGGTGCCTGTCCAGCCACCACAAGGACAACTGTCATGTGTCTGGAAAGGAAGGCTACAATTAATCCTCAGCGAGCAGACATTCAAAAGAAAACCCACATTAACAGAACACCAACGCCCCCAAACCATCCTGCCAGGACAGACCACCTGGGAACTGTACTGATGTCAAAATCCAGAATATGTGGTCAAGCTCTTCTGAAAGATTTATTTTTCTTCGGGGAGACAAACGAGCCTAACAGACCTGTCCTCACATAAACACCCCGTGGCTTCAGGAGCAGGGAGGGAGCCGGCCCCGGTTTCTCTGGGCCCCTGAATGGCAATGGTCAGAACCGCCATCGGCAGGACCGGCTTAAGCCGGGTCAGCACCACTGATCTCGAGAAACTGGTGTCTTTAACCCACTGCTATATGAGTCGAACGTCTTTACGTGAGGGAAAACAACTCCTCAAAAACATTTTAATTTAGATATAAAAACCAATTTAATTTCATGTAACACATTGCTAAGGGAGAGAAGCAATTATTACTGCACACGCTGACACTTCGTCCCCATGACGCAGGCTCTGTTTCCTGGCTGGGAACAGGGCGTGGAGAGCAGCTGACACTACAGAGGCTCATTCCCGCCCTGAGCTTGAGCTGTAGGGCACTGGGTCCAATGGGACTGGTGTGTGGGACCGGCGGCTGGTTGGCTGCCCGGGATGTCGGCCGCTCTCTGGTCTTACCTGGGCCAGGGGGTGGGGTCTCCCTGGGCTCGGGCTGGCGAGTCACCAGAGCGGGCCACCGGCTCTAGTGGAGGAGGGTAGAGGGGCCGGAGGGAGCCGCTTCCCTCTGCTATCGGCGTCCCCCCACGAGTGACTCGGGCTGGAGCCAGGCCCTGGGAACACAGGAAACCGGTCTCACCACGTGGACGGACGCCAGCTGGCGGCTTTCAGAGGCTCCGGAAGCGCCGTCCTGGATGTTCCACGGTGAGCAGAGCTGCCAGTGGAGGCCGGGTCTCGCTGGAGGTGGGTGTGTGGGCACTTTATCAGCTCGCCAACCCCAAACGCCAGGGGTCTCCGCCTGCGACTGCCTGGGTGGGGCCTCTCCCGGAAGCACGATAGCACAGAGGTTCTGCGCAGACAGTTGGATATGTCGCACAAAGGCAGAGCACACGTCCCCGCAGCGAGCAGAACCATCTTCGGTCACGGCCACACCACCCTGAGCACGCCCAGCTCGTGTGATCTCAGAAGCTAAGCAGGGCCGGCCGGTCAGGACGTGGATGGGAGCAATGATTCTGGAAAGCACTGCAAGGTATGTCAACTTGGCTTTTTACCTGAAAGTGTGGCAGTGTCTCCACCAAACACCCTTTCACGGGAAACTGTCTGAAGTTCCAGCATCAGTCCAGAAGCAGGGAAAGGTCCTTGATTCATTTTTAAACCCATAAGGAAATAGTCTTTACAGTGCAATCAAAACAAAAGCAGCCCTAGCCATCTCCACTCGCGTCCCCCACGCCCCGGACATCCGGGCAGCCAGCAGGACAGGAAGGCCCAGCGTGGAGCACCCCACCCACCTCGCCCCAGGCTCTCACGAGTCCGCCCTCCCGTGAAGAGCCTGAGGGGACTTCGCACGTCCCTCCCGTGAGGCAGGACAGCACCGCCACGACGGCTGGGGAGAACCCTCCACTCTGTCAACAACAGTGTCGAGGGCCGCCAGCTGACAAGTAGGACGATGCTCTTGTGGTTCAGGTTGTGGTGCGGCTGGAGTGACGGCCAGTGGCACTCACCCTCCTGCACCCACAGGGCTGCTGCGTCCTCGTTTGTTCCCTGAAATCACGGCTTCCTGTGTCCTCAGGGCGTTTTTCAAGGGCCCACCCAGATCAATGCACACCCACAACACAACTGGTAAAACAGGGCCATGTTTTGAGCCACAAACGATATTTTGAACAGGTTGTATTCAGCAAACAATGACCATTAACAGGTAGGATGCTGGCCCACTGCGGACAACTCACAGAGTAAAAGAATCAAGTTGAAGGACTCAAAATAAAAAGGACAAAAGTTCTCTAACGGAAAAAGCAGTCAAAGGGTGATGACCTAGTGATAAAACCACCTGTGGATTTAGTAGCCAAGTCACTGTCATTAGACCCATGAAATAAGGACTCTGTTGTTCTAGAAGCTTCCAGAGCCATCCAGAAAGGATCTCTCCATACGGGCTGTTGCTACTGCCTGAGCAGTGCTCACATATTTAATGGTTCTCTTAATTCAAACATCTGCAACTACTACCACTTTCTTCTGCGAACTTGCCGTGAGCGGCCTACCCTGAGCAGACGAGGCAGAGTCAGGGGCTCGGGGACCCCCAGCGCGCCCTGCACCGCGGAGCTGACACTGTCAAACATCACGTCCCTAAAGTATTGTCTTCTCCTCGATTCTCCAACCACGAGCCACGTCTGCTGGGGTGTGGGCCCAACGGGCACCCCAAGTATCGCAATAACAAAAGGCTTGGCCCTGGAAAAGCTCACCATTAACAACCAGCCTGAGCAGCTGGAGGTCGGAGCCAGAAACAAGGCAAAGCCCCCTGCCCCCCACAGCGGCCCCCACACTCGCCGGCCCTCACACCGACCAGGAACGAGGGACGCCCTGCGACACAGCACGCGTCTCCTTCCCTGGGCCCCTCTGGGAGGACGTGCAGCCACGCTCACTGGGGCCGAGGAGTCTCCAGCGCTCTGGGAGGCTGGGGCGTCCGGCGAAGGGAGGCAGGGTGCGTGCGTTGCCTCTGCTCTGCCGTGAGGCCGTTTCTTCTCTCTTCAGACATGTGATCAGCTTCCTCACACCCACACGCCCGCGCTCCCCAGCCTGGCGGTCCAGTGGAGACGACAGCCACCACTCGGGCACCTGGGGCTCGGGGCGCCCCCAGCTGAGCCCGCAGTGGAGCCCACAGGAGGAGGGTCCCCACGGGATGCAGCGGGAAGGCCGTGCGGAGCCTGAGACCAGGCTTGCTCATCACAGCCGCCTGTCCGTGGGGGGCAAGAGGAGGAGCCGTCACGCTCGCAGCATCTTCCAGCATCTTCCCTGAGCAGAAACCCACTCCCCGCGACGGCATGTGTGAACCCATGGCTCAGAGACAAGCCACCGAGAGCTCCGTGGGCCCGGCACTTCCTCACACGCGCCTGCGACTCAGCGCCGCAGGGCAGCCAGGCAGACACTGTCGGGCCCCGAGGCTCGGTACCCACTCCTGATCTGGTGTGCAAACTCGTGAGTCGCTCAGCTACTCTTCATGCTCTCCGGGCGCTTGGAGAAGCCACCACAATCACATCTCAATCACGGGACAAGCGGCTCACAGCCTCCGGCCGCCGGCACACCCCCTGCCCACCCACCAGGGTGCGATGCCCGCTATGATGAGTGCTGACACAAAACTTTGGGAATAAAGGTTTTTTCTGGATATTTCCAACTCTCATTTTAGCATATGCCCAGAAACAGGCAGATTTTACTTATGATGTCAGGAAATAATACTTTAAGACAACCCATTCCCCACCCAGTTCTCTAGCCTCTGCTGGCTAAACGCCGGGAGCCCACACGATGTCTCAGTTCAGCTCACAGCCCGACCGGTAAGGGTTCCGCCAACTTCTCACCCCGACTTATGGAAAACTAAAGGGCAGACTCTTACAAGAAAGGTGGGGAATTTAGAATACTAAAAGCAAGGAGGTTAAAACACAATAGCAATAACGGAGCACCAGACCCCACGAGCCGACCTCACCTGGCAGTCGGCACACGCACTGCAAACAGATGGGACAGGGCTCCCTTCCCGGCTCTCAACTCAGCTGCGACGGGAGCTGTGTGACGGCAATGACAACGCAGGAGCAGGCGTGGCTGCCCGCTCCAACGTCCAGACTCATGAAAGACACAGTGGACAGTGACCCACACTGGAAGAAATAATCTGAAGACAAAAATCCACCCATCATGGCCGCATCCTACAGGGTCACCACCCGCCCCATGACCTCACTCAGGTGCAGGACTCGCTGCAGGAGCATCTGGGCCTCTGCTGGGGTGGGACTGAGACAGAGGAGCCAAGGCCGGAGGGGGAGAAACCACCCAGGGCAGCCACGATGGGAGTACGCCCATCTCTCCCTGCTCCGCAAGCTGCTTGGGGTCCCAGAGGCCCAAGAGCCAGGCCCACAGCCCACGGGTCCTACTGCTGGACCGAATGTGGGTGGAATCAGTGTTTGGGGGCTACCCAGGCCCCCTGGTCCCATTCCTGGGGTGGTTCCCAGCAGAGACGCACCAAAGGCCTCCTGGACATGCCCACAGTGGGGGCAAGGCTGCCAGACATGGAGACAGTAGGAAAAACGCCCACAAATCAGCCCTCTCATTCCAAAGTCGTTCTCGATGACAAACACAGACCAGCCACGTCTGGGGGCGCAGAGGGGAACTGGGCCCGCCCCCCTGGAACTGATCACACACGGAGTCCACGCCTGAATTAGGAGCATCTGGAAGGAGATGAAGCAGGCGTCCAGACCCCGAAGGGAGAACACTCCGCCAACCTCCCCATACGGCCACAGAGTCCCAGTCACATCCCAGCCGCTCCTTCCCCGACAGCCAGAAATCCTGTCCAGTCGTCCCCTCAGTGGAGGCCCGTTGCTGGCCTCATCTACGCAAATTCCACGCGCCCCAAATGCCCTGGAACCACCTCCGGGACGTCCCGGGATCATCACAAGCCCAACAATTTCCACCGACAAGCAGGAGTGCTGGGTCCGCGGCGGAAGGGACTGATGTTCTGAGCGCTGACCATCTGCACTTTGCTCACGTGTTTGATGCTTTTACAAACGCTACTCGGCTTCAAATTCACACCTGTGTAAGCGATGCTACCCCCATTTTTCAGATGCAGAAAACGAAGCCTAAACACGTTTCTAAAAGCATGCCCAAGACTACGCAGCTAGTCAGCGCCGTGGGATGCTCAGTCCCGGGTCTGACTCCACCGCCCACCTCAGGCCCTGGAAACGGCTCTGAATCAAGTACACGAAAATAGAGAGAACGTAACGTCACTTTCCATTTTAGTCTTTATTAGCCACAAGTAATTTTCATCACTCCAACACAAAAACTGAGGATATTTTAGCGCTCATGAAAACAAAGTTGTAAAAATATTGTTTTTTAAATTGGAGAAAAATTAAAGATACACTTCCGAAATCCCCAACATCCACAGTGGCGGCAGATAGCCTCTGCTTCATCCACTGGCCCTAGAAAACCACTGCAGCCACACACACTCGCCCCCGGGGGCCTGGGACGGGGCGCCCCCCACGCCACGGAGAGAAACGGGGCAACACCTCGTTCTCTCACACCCACAATGAGCACCAACCAAACTCAGCATTTCCCCAGGATGGCCGGTCAGCGCCTCCTCCTGCAGGACCCAGACAGCCGCCATGCTCCCCGAGCATCCCCAGCACAGATCTTGAGGACCTGCACCGAGGAGAGCGGCCCATCCCAGGCTGACACCTGGCAGGCACAGGCAGGTGGAGGTGAAAGCTAAAAGCCCTCGTGTCTTGGGAGAAGGAAGTCTCGGCTGAGCCCGATGGCAACCACTCGGCCATACCCTAGCCGCTCCTTGGTTAGTCTGCCATCCGCTTCCGGGCAACTGGAAGTCAGCTGGAGACATTTACCTTATAACCTCCTTGTAAAAATTCATGTATGACCATCATCAGCTGGTGGAAACAGCGAGGACAGGCACCCTGCTCGCCCGCAAATGCACCACGGTCAGAGCGGGGACCAGCAGGGGGAGCCCGCCGCGCGAGGCCCTCCGTCCTGACTCGCCGGCTCCGTGTGCATGCCCAGGTGCTCAGGCTGAGGTCGGATGCCCCATTTCAAGTGGGAAACGGTGGCTCCCCTTCCCGTTGCCCTGACAACCCACCTTCTCTGTGCAGCAAGGCCAGCGCAGTCCACCCGGCTCCTGTGCGACCCCCGGGACGGACCTCAGGGGAGGTTGGGAGGGGACCTGAGCCACAGCTGGCCGTAAGGACAGACGCCCCACCCTCACCCCGACTCATCACGGTCTGACGGCCCCTCTCGACGGAACAGAGCAAATAGAACAGGCGGCGCCTGCACTTACGGGCCAGGGAGTGCGCGCCCTTGGGCAGGTACTCCAGCAGCAGGGAGCTGTCGTCCCCCAGCACGTCCGCCTTGAGCGACAGCAGGCTGTTCTTACTCATGAGCGCCGCCCGCAGGTTGGCCACCGCGGTGGCCTGGTGCAGCGCGTCGTCCTTCTCCGGGGTTAGGGGTGGGCCCAGGTAGCTGGCTTCTCCTCCCAGGAGGCCCTCGTCCACGTGGGCATAGAGCTCCGCCCTGTCCCCGCGGCTGTCTGAGCCGCTGGCTTCCGTGCTGGTCAAGTCCGCGTCTGGGGGGAGGAAACACACAGAGAACACGCAGGTCATTTCGAGACTCCAAGCAGGAAACAGGCACGCTCAGGAGAAGCCAGCGTAACGAGCTTCCTGACACCCAAGCCTGTCCTGCCAAGGCCCCAGGACGGTGGCAAAGTCACAGCCCACACCTTGGGTTGGGGGCTCAACTCAAAACAATGGGGGCCAGCCCCCCAGGACAAGGGGCCGAAGACCTGATGCAGGCTCAGTTCTGGGCCGAGGGTCAGAGGCCGCTGTGCATCTGCAGTGTTTTTGTGTCTCAAAGAAGAGACGACACCCACATGGACAATGAGCCAAACTACAAGCTCCTGGAAAATCACCGTGATCTCAGACCTGGCAAAGGGTTCTCAGACAGGACACCAAAAGCACAGCCACAAAACAGATAAACTGACTTCATCAAACTTAGAAACTCCGATGCCTCAGAGCACACGATCAAGAAAGTGAGAAGACGACACACGGAATGGGAGAAAATATTTGCAAATCATCTACCTGAGAGGAGCTCCCACCCAGAATACACAAGACACACAAACAGCCGTGAGCAACGCTCGCCATCATTTGTCATCAGAAAAATGCAGCTCAGAACCACAATGAGGCTCCATCTCACACCCACTAAGACGGCTGGGATCGAAAAGTCAGATAATAAACATTGACAAGGTTGTGAAGAAATGGAACCCTCGTACGCTGCTGGTAAGGATGCAAAACAGTGCAGCCGCTGCGGAAGAGTCTGCTGGTTCCTCGAAGGTTAAGTACAGAGTTACCATACGGCCCAGCAACTCCACCGCAGGAGTGCACCCAGGAGCCGTGAGCACGTGCCACAGAGAACCTGCAGCTGTTGTACCTTCGCGCTCACAGCAACATCGCTCATAACAGCCAAAACGTGGACCAACCAAAGGCCCATCTATTGATGAATGATAAGACGTGGTCCATCCACATGCTAGAATATTACACAGCCATAAAAGGCACAGAGTGCTGGCACATGCTACAACACGGACAGACCTCGAAAACATTATGCTCGGTGAGAGAAGCCGACACAAAAGGACACGCATGGTAGGATTCCACTTACACGAACTATCAAGAAGAGGCAAATGCAGAGACCGAGGTAGATTGGGGTTCCCAGGGGCTTGGGGGAGATGTGACCGCTAGGGATAATAAAGATGCTCTAAAGGCGACTGTGGTGACGGGCGCGCCGCTCTGTGAATACAGTAAAAGCCACTGAACTGCACACTTTAAATGGGTGAATTGTAGGATACGTGGATGATGTCTCAATAAAGCTGTTACTAAGAGAAGGAGACGGGACAGTCTCGAGTCATCAATTCAACAGACTCGACGAGCGCCGAGCTCAGACCAGCACGAAGTCAAGGCATGACCCAGGAGCTCCCCTCTGCTGGGGAGACGCACGGGACGAAAGTGCCCCAGACCGTGCTGGCCGGGCAGCCCCAGGAGAGGGCTGCTGCCCTACAAGGGCCCCTTGGAACACGCGGAAACTCGAGAAGTCTAAATAGAAACAGGCAGACCCTCCACGAGACAGAGGCGGGAGGGTGAGGAGGGACGTGCGGCCCAGGCACTGGCCACGCGCACAAAGGGCAAAGCGTGGCCTCTCCTGCCAGGGACGGAGGGTGCCCGGCATGTCCTTTCCACTCCGTCACTGTCCTTGGAAAGGAGGGCGGAGAAGGGAGCGCCCAGGAAGGCGGAGGGTGGCACCAGCCGTGGGAAGGAAGCTGGGCAGGCCCCAGGGAAGCAAGAAAGGAGGCAGGCCACTGGTCCCGGAGGAAGCGAGGCGATGGCAGCGAGGGGTGGAGCTGGGTCCCGGAAAGGACAGGCACCCTCCTCAGAACTCCAGGGAAGCAAGGGGCAGCACCAGGCTGCAGAAGTCACATGACGCCCAAATGCAGCTCGGGCATCAACCTCAACATCACAGAAAGTGGAGACGGCCGGTCATCCTCTGCTGTCACAGAAAATTCTGGAAAATCGTGCCCAAGTCTGCTCACGCTGCTGTGTCTGCCGGTGTCCGGAGAAGTCCAGGGCAGAAGCACATGTCACACGGCAACACAGCGATGCTACCGCCAAACGCAAATGTGGGAAATTCTACAGCTTCTTCAGCCAAACACGGCTGGGAACACAGGGGTTTGGGGCTTCGACAGTCAGAGGCTAAAGAGGTGCCGCGTGCAGCGCCACGTGCAAACACCCGCCCAGAGACAGGGGACAGGGAGCGCCCAGCTGGCCACTGCTGAGGGACTGCTAACTTCCCGGGGTGTGCTGCGTGTCCAACGAGCGCCTCCCTTTTAGAAGCTGAAACGCCCACAAACACAGCGACGGGAACGTCTGTGCCGACCTCTCTGAAACTGAGTGACAGAGACGCAGTATCGATTCTCTTCTCCTCCACGCACATCGTGAAATTTTTCATAATAAAAGTTGGGGGGGAGAGTCTGAAAGACAAGAACTGTTTGAACAATCCAGCATTTGCCAGGAAGGCTCAGACGCCAGCCGTGAGGAGAGAGCGCGAATGAGCCAGCCCTCAGCGGACGCCTGTGAACCCAACAGAAGTCACGACCCAGGAGAAAAGCTCCGCATGGCCTTGGCCTCGCTGTGTTTAAGAGGACGAGTCAATGGTGGCTCCTCACTTCTCTGGGGACACCGACGGCGGGAGACAGCCTCGTCGGGGATGGGCACGAGTGAAGATCCCTCAGACTTGGGACGTGGGACCACGCGGCTCCAAGCTGGATCTCAGATCGCTGACGAAAATCCATAGCCCCTCAAAGTCTTAGTCCCCACAGTTCTAAACACTCAGAGCCACTCGGGGGCGCGGGTAACAGACCTGCCACCTAGAGGGAGTTCCCTAACGCCAGCACTTCCCACTCCGTTCCTTACGTGAACTAAATCCTAGAAATGATTTCCTGTCATCAACACGTAAGAAGAAAAGAAAACCACATTAACCTGAAAGATGGAACGTCTTGCAACGGCCAACTGAGACACTCTTTCACTGTGAAAAGCGCTGAGCCAACGTCGGCCCGTGAACTAGCAGCACCCCCGCAGCCCACAGAGCAGATCCTGGTGCTTCTGCAAAGCCCTGGGCTGCAAGGGGGACCGGCCCAGGTGCAGAAGGATGGGGTCACAGGTGCTGGTCCCCCACAGCCTGGAGGAGACCCTGTCCCGTTAGTCTACCTGCATCTATGAGGGCAAGGCGCCACGGCCAGCAGCCAGGGGGCACATCTCAGTAAGAAATGGGGACAGCAGCTGGGCATCACCTGGTCAGGAGGCCTGAGCCCGAGACGGCCATGCAGATGACAAATGTGTTCGGCGTTTTGACGCCCCTTGAGCTGCAGGGAAGGCGAGAATGAAGAATGGGGCAGAGGGAGAGTGTTTCTGAGTCTGAAGGTGAATGGAAGGGGCAGGAGGGGACACGGCCACACAATGCGGGACCCGGCCCAGGAGGCAAGCTGTGGACAGCGAGGGTGGGGGGCCCCAGAGGCCAGGTCACCTCCAGGAAAACCTGAAACACAAACCATGAGAGGAGAGAGCCAGGCACCCTGGAAAGGGCTGGAACCTTCCCTGCGAGACGCAGAGAAGCCTGGGGACAGAGATGCCGAGGCTGTCCCTCCTGTCCCGAAGCGGCTCAGCCAGCATGGACCGAGCTCTGGTCGTGCCCCTGTGTGCCAGCCCGCAGAGAGCAGGAGCGACTTCCATGTGTGCAGGGCCGCTCCTCCCTGCCTGCAGTCAGCAGAGGGCTGGCAAACACTCAAAAAGTAACTGAGGCTGAAGTGGCTTCACAACGCATCCCATTTTGGAGGAAATTACACGGAGCTGGGGAACCCTGGGCAGAGGCCGAGACCAACCCGGCCAATGGCCAGTCCCCCACATTCACCAAAAATGCTTCTGACAGCTTTCACAAAACAGTTCAGTAATTGCCAGAGAATGAATTATCAGCTGTGGTCCCTGGACAGGATTCAGGATCAGGGCCACAGAGTCAAGGCAGGCAGTGCTGGGAGCCAGGGGCCAAGGCACCTGGGGACACTCGGCCACGACCATGTCTGCAACCACCCCCTGAAACAGAAACGTGTGCCCATTCACACAAACCCTCTGAACACTCCACACAGGCCAAGCGTGGTGAGGACTGGACAGTCCAGGCGCAGGGAGGGCCCAGCTCAGGCAGAGCAGCTCAGCATTGGGGTCTCGAGGGCACTGGTCCCCAGCGGGGTAGGCTGAGAGGCCACCCATGTCCAGACCCGAAGGCCACCCCCCTCCACAGGACAGTGAACCCTTGGTGCATCATGCAGACAGAGTCCAACTTGAGGAACGTGTGACCCCTGCCAAGGACCTGTGACCCCGGGAACACTTTCGGGGGATCGTCCCCACAGTGCTGACTGCTTTTGGAGGCCTCTGAAGGATATTTTCTATTTTTTCAAACTATAAGCTTTCTAATATCTTTCTGCCAATTCCTCTATGGTATATCAGTATTAATTTTGCATTTCTAGCAACTAAATGTAGGGATTAAATCAACATTTAAGTTAAGGCTTTGTTTCAGTCAGCTGGGGCCATAACAGAGCACCGCGGACTGCGTGGCTCACACACTGCCCTGGCAGCTCCGGGGCCGCGAAGTCCAGGACTGAGGTTTGCTGGCTTTGGTGCTGGTGAGAGCTTGGCTTGCAGACAACCGCCTGCCTGCCTGCCTGCTGTGTCCTGACGTGGCTGTGCCTTGGCGGGTGTGTGTCGACAGAGGGCGAGCTCTCCGGTGTCTGTTACAAGGACACTGATGCTATGGGATCAGGGCCACACCCCCAGGACCCCACTGACCCCTAATCGCTTTCCTACAGGCCCGGTCTCCAACACAGCCACACCGGGGGTCAGGGCTGCAACATCCACAAACATTAGGTCCGTAGCAGATTTAAAACTAGAAAACACCAGATGTTAAAACCAAACTTTTAATTAAATTATATTAACAATTGAAGTTCAAAAGGTGTAAAAGAAATCAGGATTAGCT